TCAACAAACAGTCAAGGTTAACTTTTATTAAAAGTAAAACCTATATTGTGCCATTTTTAAAAGTTGAGAGAGATATTATACCAAAAATGATTTTAGTGTCTTAAACACTTTTGGACATATAATTTAGAACCTAAGTTGCCCTTCAACCCTTTATTTAACTATATTACATTGTCAGAAAGTACTCTTTCTACCATCTTCAAACCATAGTTTATTTATTTATGTTTGGTTTGGGATTCTATTGGAGAGCATGATTAAAAAATAAACAAAGGAGATTACCACCCTCACAATGTTTAAATCAAAATTCTAAACTTTTTTGTAGAAAAATAACATATTGAAATTTATTGCTTGTATGTAGTTGTTACTTTAGCTTTGTTGGTTGTCTTCACACTCCCCTTAGCATTATGTTGGGCACAAAAGCAAAGAACTTTGAAACAACTAAGACAAAGAAACTTTGACCAAAATGGGGGAAACTTGCTTTTACAACAATTTTCTCAACTACAAGGATATATTGAAAGGGCCAAGATCTTTACAAACAATGAGCTTAAGGATGCCATAGACAACTTTGATGGAAGCAGAGTCCTTGGTCATGGAGGACAAGGCACGGTTTATAAGGGTACATTGTTGAACAACACACATGTTGCCATTGAGAAGTCTAGAGTTAGAGGAGACCCCCAAATATTAAAAGTTTTATCAACAAAGTATTTGTGTTTTCCCAGATCAACCATAAGAATGTGGTAAAACTTTTGGGGTGTTGTCTTGAAATCGAAATGCCTTCGATAGTTTATGAGTTTGTAGATAATGGCACCTTTCTTGACCACCTAAGCCCATCAAAAAATGATTGTTCTGTTACATGGGAGACTAGATGCCTTTGAAATTATAGATGGCGGGTGATGATGATCTTACAATATTAATTAGTAAGTGCATTGATGTGTTTATACTATTCTTGTGGTTTTAGACACAGTACGTGGTGGATACAACAATGATGCTAATGAGAGTCTATCTTAGTTGTTTATTTGCAAATAATTACTGATTTAACTCTCATGAGTTGCAAATAGATGGGAGGAGTGAACTCTTATTGCCTTTTATAGTGTTTTGCGTAATTCATCAAATACCACCTTTCATTTGAGGGAAAATGATAATAAAATCTCACTGAAATATATGAGTGACAATTAGATCTCTCAAAATACTATAATTCCTCTGAACTTTCATTACCTTTCACGATAATGTTTTGTACATCTTTTATCAAATACCACCTTTCATTTAAAGGTGCATTGTTGATGAAAGATTTGGAGTTCTAGTTTGTTTTTCTTTCTTGTATTTGCTTGGACAGTTCTTACTGAAATGGCATCCATCAGATGCAATGTGTTCTTTAATTTCGCATACACCGTATTCCATATATTCCTATGTGTTGTTTACACACACACACACAAAATGTATTTCTTGAAGCTTTCTAGTCCTATTATAAACTAAATAAGTTGCCATAAAAACCTAGAAAGGGAAAGAGAAATCAAACAATTCGGGGTTCTTTTAAGTATTTGGTTATGTAAATTGAATTTACTCAATGGAGAATGGTATGAGGTGGCTTACAAGATTGATTATTAGGTGGCCTGAATTTAGAAGAGAGAATGACAAAAAAATATTCTTGAAATATGTGATGACACATAAGTACTTTGAAATATTGTGATAATTATTTTATAGTCTTGGGCAACTTGCCTGTCATAATTTAGTTTAAATGTGAAAAGACTTTTGACCCCTATAAAAAATAAAAGAAAGATAGGCAAACTTCAGAACATTTCACTTTCATGTTTTAGTCATTTTTTCAAAAAAAATATATTAGTCATTTCCCAATCTTAACTTGTCATTGATTTTTAGTACTTGGACTTCACTAATAAATAAATTTACATTGAGGCATTTATTATTTACTATTCTGTTTTAGTTATTTTCTCAAAAAAGTAACCATTTCCCAATTTTAACTTGTCACTGATTTTTAGTAATAAATAGTTTTGCAAAGAGGCATTTGTCATTTGCCACTTCGTTTTAATCATCTCTCCAAATGTGGTAGTCATTTCCTATTCTTAACTGATTTTTAGTCGTTTGATTTTACTAATAAATAAATTTGTAGAGAGGCAATTGTCATTTGCTATTCCATTTTATTCATTTCTCCAAATAAAGTAAGTATTTCCCAACATTAAATTGTTACTGTTTTTTAGTAGTTGGGGGAAAATCATTGTTTTGTAAAATAAAAAATAAAAATGTCAGACAAGTCTCAAGAAACTACACAATAATTATCATATTTTATAGTACTTATTTATCATTTGCATATTTCAAAATATTTGCTTGTCATTCTCCCAACTTAGACTTACAATGAGAAAAAAGGAGTAGGTCGCTGCAGTTCTACTTGTCATTCTTTATCCGTGGCTACATAAAGCATTGACCTCAAGTCGTTAACTTTGTTCTTTTAGGCTAAGTGCTGGTTTGGTCTTCTTGAATTAGCTCAATATTCTTGAAATTATTATACTGAGAATATATGCAAATGAACTGAATTTCTCCTTAATTGAGAGATTGTTGGTATTTATGAGGGTCTATTTTACTTTTGTATGTCTTAGGAAAAATGATTTAGATCGGTGGATATCTTTCGTGATATACTGTGCTTATGAGGCAATGAAATAGAAATTACAAGAGACCTATCCATGGTTATATCATCCATACCAATTAAGTGATAGAGAATACTTGGGATCAGTATGTATTGGAATTGACATTTTTCTCTTAATTAATTGTGTTTATGTGTGTGTGGAGAGAGAGAGATGCTAATGGAATGAAAATAAAATGCTATATTGAGTTTTCAATCCAACAAATTTAGAGAATTGGAAAGGAAATATCAACATTTACCTTTCACAAATAAAATGCTATATTGAGTTTAATCAATAAATCTTTGACAAACTCATATATAAACAACACTCAAGTCCCAATTGATTACCAAAAAGGATTGAAATGGAATGAATTAAAAAATAGATATAAAGATAAGATGATCAAAAGGAATAAGTAAACTACATTCACAAGAAAGAGAGGTAATTAATTCATGGGATTGTAAATCATGATTCATGAGATTTTTGGAGGGTATAATAATTTTCACATTTATAGCATATATTAATAAGTTTTATCATACTTACCATGAGATAAAAGGGTCATTTAATTCATTTTTATTTTGATCTATTCAATCAATTCCATTTCATTCTTTTTTAGTAACCAAATGAGACCTTAAAGTTTCCAAGTCTACATATAGAAAATAAACAACTTCTATTATTATATAATTAATATTATCAATCATGTTTATTTAATTTTCATAAACTTCATTCCTCAAAACTCTATTTGAACTCAAAAGCTAACAAAAGAACCAACAAACTTGGTTCTTAAATTATTGACCTCCATCTAACTGCGTTTTCAACCCTATATTACAAATAATTACCTACTAAAACAACATATCCAACAATAATACATCTATCACATTCATTTGCTACCAAAAACTAACATCCTCCTATCAAAAATTTATCAAATACCTCGTGCATTCAAATTTAAATCATACAATAACCATCTAATTCTTTAAATATCTTTTCCAAAAAATTTCTAAACATTTATATAAATTTACCAAACTTTTCAAATTTCATTCCTTCAACTAAAATCAATTTAAACTCAAAGAAATACCGAATCTAAACACATGTTCATCATACAGCCACAAAAGAAAACATAATATAGTTACCTATCAAAAGTGCAATTCAATTTAAGCTTGTTAGAACATTCAATAATGAAGCAAAATTTTAGCAATCAATTCCTAATCAAAATTTTAGCAATTCCCCAATCGTAAGACATACTCAAATTTGACGAGGATCGGAAGAGAGTGGAAGTTGGTTCACTAATAAAGCAAAGAGGAAAGAAGGGGGGAGATCTAAGCTCCCTCCACCAAAATTGCAGTGACGGAACATGAAGATGAAGAAGAAGGGCTGCGACATGAAACAGGGGAGGAGAAGGACCAGCAAATCAAACCTCCAGCAGTGACGGAAACAACTCCTGTGCACACACCGGCAACGTATAGAAGGAATGGAGAAAGGGTTCGAAGCACCACAGCACGATACGGACGAAAGAGGAAGAAATCGGCGGCACAAGAATGGAGAAGATTGTGAGCTCACGGAACTACCACAGTGGGCAATTGGAACGACGGAACTCCCTCCCTCCCTCCGTCCGCGCGCGCTAGCAATGAACGATGCTTCGAGAAAAATGGAGGGGAAGAGATAAAATTCGATCCTTCTTATTCTTGTTCTTATTATTATATATTTTTTTAGGGTATTTTAATAATTTCCTGAGACTGAAAAAAAACATGATCCTCTTATGCATTAGGAAGATTTGAACTCATAAGCTACAAGTAAAGTTGCCACTGGATCAATAATCTTTCTTGTTGCATCTATTACAAAACTTATAAAAATACATATAAATTACTTGATCATAAATTTTACGTAATTAAAATTTTTTATATTCTTGGGTTATTGCAAATATCGCCAGGAAAAGTTTTTAAATATGTAAATGTTTGTTGTTATATAATTTTCCTCTTGCTATTAACATGACTCGTCTTTTTATCCCCCGGGCCCTGAGAAAGACGAGCAAGGGAAGTCAGTTGTCCATTCATTAACAACTAGCACAGCAGTGCCTCATTTGCTCTACGATCATTCTACTTTGAAGATAATTCTGTCAAATTCCTTTTAATTTCTTTGTCCAAGGAATCTAACCGTGTCTGTAATTTTCTTTGTGCTAGAGACTACAAATATAAAGGTGGTATCTATATGGTATTTGAATGCATGGAACATGATTTGACTGGTCTTACAGATCGACCTGGGATGAGGTTTACACTTTATAGTTCCCCAAATCAAGGTATGGCAGCAAATATTGTTTAAATCAAATATTTGTGGTAGTAACTCATTTAAACACTGACTGGCTTCTTCTTGCTTAAGTGTTACATGAGACAGCTTTTGACGGGGCTTCCTTATTGTCATGTGAATCAAGTACTTCATCGTGACATAAAAGGTTAGTGTAAAGCTAGATTTCGTCTCCAGAAGCTTTGTATTTTATTTTTTGGTTGTAAATGATATGCCTATTTCATGTATTTTGTTCTTATGCAGGCTCCAATCTTATAGACAATGAAGGCAATCTGAAGCTTGTAGATTTTGGTCTTGCAGGATCATTTTCTAATGACCACAATGCAAATCACCTCCTAAAAGCTCCAAAAAACAAACCCTGCCAGCCCCAATGTCGTACTCTCTCAAGTTCTCCTGTTTTCTTCCTTTCTGTTCAGCCTCCAATCGCGTCTGATTTAACTAAACTTTGCATTGTCCGCCGTGACGCAGCGGATGCATGGTACAGAAGCCCAACTCATGATTTAGGTCCTTCAGTTGGGCCCAGTTGGTCTAATATCTATCCTAACCCAATCATAAGGCTATCCAACATTTTAATGAGTCCATTAGTGATTTGGAAAATTAATAACCAATTTATTAATTTACTCTCACTTAATTTATAAATCCCGGATTAAAATATTTTTAAAATGTTACATATACCATTCATTGAATGCCTAATTCTGGCATGGAATTTTGAAAGAGTAGGATACTTGATCAATGAGTCTCTCATTTTTGTTGTATTTGAAGCTCTTGATGTTTAATGACTTTTTTGAGTCGTGCAATGAGCAAGTCTCTTCGTCAATATCTCCCTTAGTAATTGAAGATAGAGGCATGAGCCTACGTACAAAATAATAATAAAGATATTTCCTACAATCCTATTTATAAGATGGAGAGGGATATTTTTTATTATATTTAAGGTACATCATTAAATTTTTATCATAAATTTCTCCTTTTACTCTCCATTAAATTTTGGTGAGAGAACACTATTAAAATATATATATTTAATAGGAGTAAAGTTAAAAACTTACTACCTCCGTTTCTATTTGTAGGAAAAATTATCATGTTTTACTTATTTTTTACATAAGTAAAATCACATATTTTAATAAGCATTTATTACACATTTTTTAAATTACCCTTCATAATTTACGTTAACGACAAAAAAATTAATAGATACTTATATTCATTAACATATGGCATTTTAGTCTAATTTTTTTAATTTCAAACATAATTATTATAGTTAACTAACTTTCTTAAACTGTGTGATATAATTTTTTCTCTTATATATATATATATATATATATATATAAAACAAAGGGGGTATTAAATTTTTAAACAAAGTTAATAAATTCTAAGATTTGTCTTGGTAGAAAAACATGTTAAAAGTAATTTACAAATATAACAAGAAAAGCACTATTTAATGCTAATTATTGCTAGAATAAGTGATAACAGATTTATATTTCTTAAACAAAGTCTTAAGAGGTCGGGTCTTATTAATAAAAAAAATCACACTTAAAAATATTTTCCGTATGATCAAGGCTCTACCTGATTAGAATTTAATTTAGTTAGTTGTATTTGATACTTAATGGTTTGTCATCAAAATAACAAAAAGAAAGTATCAATAATACTCAAAGACAAAGGAAATGAGCCCATGTAATAATAGAAATATTGCTTTAACACTAATAGGGGTTGGAGTGAATCATAAGAAACTTATCATCTCATAACTAAAGTCTTTTTGTTCAAGTCTTACCAATAAAATCAAAAATAAAAAAAAATATTGGAATCCCTCTAATGATAAATAAAAAACTTTATAAATAGCGATCTATATATTAAGAGTATTAATTCCATAACAATGTGATGATGATGATAGTCCAACTATTTCGGGCCACACATTGGCCAGCAAGACAAATGTTATAAGGTGTGATGCAAATTTTTCCTCTCATGAGGGAAGAAGAGTGGAAATATTCCAAAAGACTCTCATGACTCTTGTCCAAAATGTCTCTTAAAATCATAACGTTTCATTTTATTAAATTCTACAAAGTGAAATAAGATTACTGTAGGTAAGGACTTTCACCAAATTCAAATTCGAGTAGGATGGTGGCAATGTTTTAAGAACTGGACAATTGAAACAATTAGATCGATGGCTATTGGAATTATTTAATGACTCAGTTTGAAGTAAAAAAACATTTTCCTCATTAGTATTATATTGGCTGATGAAGTTGCAATATCTCATTACATTTCTCGTTAGTTTGACCTTTTAGGGAGGAATAAAACATTATTCTCGGTAAATCGTATTTTTCTAATAAGAAATTAATATAATGTCGTGTCTTGAAAAAAACTACAAAACCAATCCTCCAAATATGTCATAATAAATAAGATTGGACAGAGTATGTGTAGTCTTGCAAGCTTATACGTTATTCTTGTGTGGCTAAATCACTCCTCCAAATGTCTCACAAGCTTAAACCCAATGGGCATAAAGCGACAAAGACTTAAATCCTCGTATATAAGGTGGCTAGTTCATGAGGACTTAACATTATCGTCACCTGGAAACGCAAGAACAAACGTGTACATCATAATGACAGGAATTGATTTAGGTCTAGCAAAAGGTGTTAATCCTTCATAACGTGATGTACTAGGTTTGAATCCTTCATTCCTAACCCTTGATTTATCTCTCTGTCTCTTCTATACATATGATCTCTAACTGTAGCGTTTTATATTAAAAAAAATATGATAAAAATATATAGGTTTGGTTAAAAGCTTATATGATGATTAAGAAATGACTTTTTTTTTTCCTTTTGATTTTCAAAAAGAAACTCCTCCCCGTATAAGAGGAAATAGGTGGAAATGAACGAGAAAGAGAGGAATATAAATTTTAAAAACTTTCTATGTCAGTTTTTGCCTTTTAAGAGATGATTCACTATTTTAAAAAATGTAAAGAAAGAGGTCACATTTAGTGTCTAATTGTACGTCGAATAAGATTGCTTATAATAGGAAGATGCTGTGTAAGTGAAAAAAAAATTCAAAAGAAAAACTAGTGGTACTCCTATATGATATTTTTGATTTATAAGACCTAAGTTTAGGTTTGCTTTAGTACTTTTTCTGGAGGTATTTCAGGAGTAACATATATTTAATTACTATGGTGAACCTACAATGAAACTTGGATTTCAATTTAAATACTTCTCACAATTTCTATGATGACTAGATGGAAAGTAAAAATATGAATTAATTAAACACTCATAGGCTATAGTTAGTTATGAAAATATGTGATAGTTGGAAGTTTATCATGCGTGTGATTATGAATGTTTGGCCGTGGGATGCAAGTTGGAATATCAACTTCAGAGAATACTATAGTCATGCAATAATTCAAGAAGTATTCGCCAACGTATCCAATTAGAAGTCGAAGACAAAGAGATAAGATTTGGATTTTAATGAGTGACTCAAATCAACTCACTCATTTGTTTCCGATATCTTCTATTTAAAAGCAACAAGAATATATTTTGAAATCATTTTTAAGCATAATACCTATACAAATGAGTAATTTAAAAAAAATGGAAAATGGAAATTAAACAGACCCTTTAATATCCTTAAGCAAAGCCTCAAATTCAAGTGGTATTAATAAAAAAAAATGATGTTGGAAAATATTGTTTCCCCAATTAAGGCTTGCCCATGATTCGGATTAAAGTAATCAGTTATGGGATACTCAATGGTTTGTCATCAAAGGAGTAATATTTTTTTGGTGAAGAAATGTTTAATTAGATGAGTTGAATCATAGAGACTTAGGGCCTGTCAGGTGTATGTTCTCATTTTTTTTTAAAAAAAAAACTTGTTTTGAAATATATAGGTTTCAGAATTATTTTTCAAAAAAAAATTGAAAATTTGTTTGGTTGTGCTGATTAAAAACAGTTTAATTAGATGAGTTGAATCATAGACTTTTAGGACCCTCATTTGTTTTTGTTTTTAAAAACTTCTTTTGCAATATAGGTTGCAGAGTTATTTTTCAAAATAAAATAAAATAAAAATATGTTTGGTTATAATAATTTAAAAAAATTAAAATTAAAAAATAAGCTTGTTGCAGGTGATTAATAATAATATTTTATTATATAAATTGGTCAATCTAACTATATTTTCTAATAATCAAATATAGTGTTTTTTGAAAACAAAAAAAATGAAATGAAAACAATTTTAAGATGTTTTCATTTTTTTTCTTTTTTAAAAAATGAGAAAAATTTAAAAAATAATTAAATTCAAAGCATTTATTCACATGAGTTTTTAAATATTTTTATTTTTAAGAAAATAGACACCCAACTGGCCATTACTATCAGCAAAGTTAGCCTCTGAGCTCAAAGAACAAAATATTATTGTTTTTAATACTATAACAAATTAAAATGATAGAAAATTAAAAAATTAATATATTCTAGAAGACTAGGAGTCTACAATAATTATAAGAAAAATTAAAATTAATTTCAGAATTATTTCATGATGGATGGTCCAACTCATGAGATGGGGCCACGTTACCACACATGCAAAGACTTGGACTTGCCCAAGTCCTCTCTTGTACACGTGACCGAAGCTCATCCCTTGCCGCGTAATTGCCTGTTTTATAGCGTTTTTTAATTCTGAAAATGGAAAAAAAAAATTAAAACAAAACCTATTTAAAATGTAATTGTTGTCATCTGTTTGAAAAAAATAAAAAAATAAAAAAAATATTTTAAAGAACTAAAAAATCATAACACCTTTTAAATGTTTTGTTACTTTTGTTCTATAAAACTAGAGAAAAGATAGAAAATATTGGGTTCGTTTGGTTCTGTTTTCTAGTTTTATGTTCTTAAAACAATTCTGTGAAATAGTTTTTCAGAACAAGTTTTGGAAACAAAAAATTTAAAAAATATGTTTAAATAATTAATTTGAAAAACATATCAAATTGGTGAAATAAAGAATATGAAAGAATAATTTATTTTAGGAAAAATTAATCATTTGGTCATTGTTGTTTTAACATAATTGTAACTCGATTCTTAAATTTTGGCTCGTTGTACTCAATCCCTAAAATTTTGATTCGATTGTAATATAATCCCTAAACTTTATAAGGATATGATGGTAGAAGAAAGTGAATACATACTCGGTCGTCATTTTCCTAATGATGGATATGGGAGTGTTAGTGCAAGTATTTCAATTACCAGCTATGATAGCATTTAAAAGCAAGTTGCCTTTGAGATTATAGATGGTGGGCGATGATGATCTTATAGTATTAATTAGTAAGTGCATTGATGTGTTTCTACTACTCTTGTGGATTTTAGACACAGCCAGTCGTTTATTTGCAAGTAATTATTGATTTAACTCATGAGTTGCAAATAGATGGGTGGAATGAACTCTTATTGCCTTTGACAATGTTTTGCATATATATCTTTCATCAAATACCACCTTTCATTTAAGAGAAAATGATAACAAAATCCCACCAAAATATATAAATGACAATTAGCTCTCTCGAAATGTTATAATTCTTTTAAATTCTTATTAATGTTCTATATATATTTAATGAAATACCACCTTTCATTTAAAGGTGCGTAGTTGATGAAAGATTTGGAGTTTTAGTTTGTTTTTCTTTCCTGTATTTGCTTGGACAGTTCTTAATGAAATTATCATTTAATTTCTATTAAAAAATGGCATCCAACAGATGCAATGTGTTCTTTAATTAATTTCGCATACACCGTATTCCATATATTCCTATGTGTTAATTATACACATACACAAATGTATTTCTTGAGGC